AGACCTAAGAGCACACACATGACAGACCAATGAGGTGTAAGCCCAACACCGAGACAAAAGCACGTGGCTTACATAGGAAAATGTACTCAACTAGGGTGAAGGCACGACTGACTGCAGTCAACCTTAATGTTCTGCTGCTCTAATAATCACTGCCCAGTATCTCCACGCTGCTCCACTATTTATATTTTGAAAGTCTCTAGGAGGCCAGGTGAAGTGGTGCACGTCTCTAATCCCAGCACTTGGGAGGCAGAGGCAGGGGGATATCTGTGAGTTCAAGGCCAGCCTGGTCTAGAGTGAGTTCCAGGAAAGCCAGGGTTACATAGAGAGACCCTGCTGCAAAGGGGGGAAAAAGTCTCTAGGAAGCACATCCATTCCAAAAAGGAACCTCTCTCAAACGCATTGCTGTGCTGTCAGGGTCACAGCTGCCATAATCACATTTTTAAATAGTATTAATTCTACTCAAAAGTTACATAATCACTAACTTAGCAATTTATGAAAAGATTCTGAAGTGAAAGTAATGGATATTCAGGTAAATGGCAGACTGGTGATCACTATAAAACCAGCAACTTAAACTATGAATTATTTCCATTGCACTGTTCTGGTATTCTTATATCTAAAAATAAACACAAAGAAGGTTTACAGCTTAAAAGAAAGCTTCTTTATCTTAGTAATAAAGTTTTTCTTGATCAACAAATGATCAACAGGTTTCTTCCATCATTTGTTAATCCTTCAATATCAAACTGCAATGTCCAATGTTATACTTAAGGGACAGCATATAATCTTAATTGTTATTACCATTATTTGATTATGCTGCTGATTAATTTTAATTCCAATGTTTCTATGATAAGTTAGGCTCCTCTGTCCCCCTAATAAACTAGAAGAGCTTTAATTACCATTCCAGTTTACTCATTCAAACATGTATTGAGTATCTAATAAGGACTAAGTGATAGGGCCAAGCTAGATGAAAACAGGTTGTACAGAGAATATCAGAACAAAATGCTGTGGGAACGGAGAAACAGTGGAGTCCTGGCAGGGTAAGAGAACACGTACTGCCGGACAGAGGCACGAGCAAATGGAGAAACAGTAACCACGGGGTCCGTCGAAACACGGCCTCCACGTAGGTGCACTGCGGCATACAGGACGAGGTCTGATGAGCCACTTAATAAAAACAGAAGTGGGATGCTAAAAATCCTCTAGACGTTGTCTTTTCCTAAAGAAGCACAGGAGGGGGAATTGACGGTTTTCTGTCACCAAGCGCACTGAGAATGGTAGGCGCAGACTGCAGGGCAAAGCTGAAACAAGAAACGGAAGTGAGACGCTAGAGCTCTGGTTAAAATGGTTACGGGTGGAGTGGAAATGGGCTGAAGGAAACAAGAGGCGACAAGGCAGAGTGAAGGGAACTTTGTGACTAAAAGTTTTCAGGATGTGGAGAGTGAAAAAAAAAAAAAAGAAGAAACGAGGCGGAGGCTCTTGGAAGGGCTCTGCACACCAACAAACCTGCTGATTCCTCTAAAATTCTAAACGCTTTGAACTCGGGTTTCCAAAGGAAGATAACCTTTCGTTCTCGGTGGCTCAGCACCAGCTAATAGTTTTCTAAGTGTATCAGCTTCACTCCTGCAACAGCATTTGAGATATGGCACTTTTTAAGGCATCTGAGACACCTGCATTGGAAATTTCACCCCACACCACAGAACTGATGTGCATTATCCCTTAGAAGAGCTGAGCATGCGCTCCTCCTGCTTGCCTAGGTGCTGCCGGTGAGAGAGGTGAGAGAGCGGCACACCTTTCAGCTAAGTTCCACATCTGTGTTAAGCTGGTTCCTCTTCCCTGCTAAGGGGACTCGATGAACAGCGACTACCACCTTCTCCCCAAGGAGCCCTCCCCACGCAGAGAGTAGCTGCTTAAAATCATGGGTATCCGTGGGGCGGGGGGTATACCAGAGATGTTGATGGGTTTCTCTTAAGATACGGAACTCGCCTACTCAGACTTAGTTTCTGGAAGTCACTTTAAAAGCTGGAAAATACTCCTAAATTACTTCTAATCATAAAGGAAAAATGTAGCAATAAGGAAGGCCACTCACCACGCATGTGTTTAAAGACAGAGATATCCATTTCAATATGAGTAAATCAGAAGGCACAAACAGGAAATACAGTGACGTGTGCACTTTTACAAGACATTGGTAAAGTTCTTTTTCTGTTTAATAATACTAGCATATATGATGTGAGCTATGACAGCATTAATTTCCTTACGGGTGCTCTGCCTGTGGCTTCAACACTATCACCCATGAGTGGTCGTTTTATATTAAAGCGCAAATCTCAAGTTGTGGTTCGGCTGCCGGGGTTGTGGTGCCAAGTCTACTCTGCCATGGGCACGTCTCTAATGCTCCCTCCTGCCTTTTTTCCCGTGAAACAGGGGTAATGCTATGGGATTACCATCGAGCTGCTGAGAAGAGAATGGTTCGAGTAAACATAAGTGCCCAGGATGGTGGGAAACGCCTGGCACACGAGCCTAGGTGTCAGTACCAACTTTCACCACTAGGGGCATTGGTGAGTCCTCACGCGCTCAGAGGGGGGAAACAGATGGAGGCTGAGATGTGAGGAGCTGGAAGATGCACACCAATCACACGCATCTCTCCAGAGCAACTAACACTCCTGTTCCTCAAGAATGAAATCCACCGATGGCCCAAGTCAGCCGTGCTTCTCTCCTCTAAAAAGGAAACTCAATACTCACAGTTAAGAAACTTAATACTCATAGTTAAGTTCAAGATCTCTTAAAAACAGAATTCCACAAAGCTATTTAATTCTCAAATGCTATCATTCAGATAACATTCGAGATGCCAAAAGCTAAATATGAGTTTCGAAGAAACAGTAAGTGAATATTTAATATAAATATGGCCAATTTAAAATTTGGAATACACACACTAAAAAAAAAAAAAAAACAAACTACCCATTGATTATTAAAAATTCAGAAACATACAAATGCGCTAAGTGGCTAATCTCTGTAAAATAAGGTAGAAAGTCTATTTGGATTAAATAATCTTAAGAAACAGGATGGCCATTAGAGAGAGCATGATTTATGGATTTTAGAGTCACACAACCCTGAGCTTGAAACCACCAGGCTCTGAGAAATTATCATTGCCTGACTTCCAACAAATTACTGCGCCATCCAATGTGGCTTCATTTCCTACTTTCCCCTTCCTTTGCAAGACAGACAAAGAACCCTGCCTCTCAATTCCTCCTCATGCTATGTGGGCTGAGGAAGCGACGTTTCCTGTGACAAACGTCAAAACCAAGGAACACGGTTTACCCTGCACTAGCTAAACAGCATTCAACTTCCTCCCACGCCTACACCAAAGCCCCCAGTGCTGTGCACGGCGCTGGCTCCCTCTCCACTTTGATCTACACAGACATTCACCAACAACAGCTGGCCAAACACTTTTAAATTCCAACAGTGCAACATCTGACCAAAACCGTCTGAAAATTCACACTGTGATTTCATGTTTTTGTTCTTTTTGAACCACAGGCGACAGATGTATAAACAAATCTATTTCGAATTATTATGTAACACTAAATAAAAAAATGAATCTTCTTAGTTTTAAAAATGGGCAAAATCCCATCACTTATTCAATCATTATTTTTTTTTTGAGGAGCTATAAATGCACAAAAGAAAATTATTTTCCAGTATAACTTGAGGGACTAGCTCTCTCTGCTGCTGCAGAGCCACCCCACAGGGGGTGACTCTCTAATGTGCGTCTCACAAAACGCCTCACTGACAATGTGTTGCTCAGCCGCCATTCAGGGTACCTTATCTTTTCTCTCCACACTGTGATGTCTTTGGAGGAAAATTAACTAAATATTTCGGCAGTTTAACTAGTGCAGAGTGGAGAATTAAGATTATAGATACAAAGGTGCTGTAATTGTGCTCTAATCAGCTTATTAAATATAACACGAACATGTATCAGTCAACTCATTTAATTTCCTGGTCTATGACTCAAAACTTTTCAAATCCATAACAATACAAAGTTATCAGCATTTACCTAACAACTTCTTTCCTAGTTTGTCTTAATTCATGTAAATCATTCAAATATTGCACTACATATTCTTCTGGCCTGGAAGAAGGCTTAATTAGGAAGTTATTAAAGTACTGTTTTTAAAAGTTTACCTTGTCTTACCTACTAACACTAACTGAGCCCTAAAAGAAAACCATCTACACACATATGTGTGTATCTACACATGGGCGAATACATAAATACCACAAATTCCTTGTTAGGGGACAACTACAAGACTTGTTTAAAAATCTATTTCAAATATTTCTATTCCCAACAGACATAAATCCACTGATGAAACAAACTACTGAGCCAAAGCTTGTTTTAAATTGTTGCTGCAGAAAATGCAAACAACTCTCTATAAATCTCATTTAGAAAGTAAATTGCCTAATTGCACATTCATTTGGGAGTATTCTACAAAGATTTCCCATTACAGTCATATTTTGACTTAGAAATACACATCACATATTTTTCTGTTTTCTCCCTATTAAGACAGTGATTTTTTTCATGATCTGAATGTTTCCATTTTTCACAGGATAATTTAGGTTATCAATACTCTATTTTTGTTAAGGAATAGTGAAAATTACTCAAAAAGCCAGTGGGTCTTTCTCTATGCCATTCTGCTTCGTGGCAAAGATTGCTTTAGGTGTAAGGGGTCTATTTCTGACCACTATTTTTAACTCAAGTAGAGAGCCAGCCTAAGGGTAAGGGTCATTAACATCCTCTACTAAGACAAAAGATTCCACTATGGTTGCTAGGATACCAGCAGACAGATTCATTTATTGCAGTCAGAAACAGTTATTAAGGATGTCTTCTCACAAAACAACATACTACAGGAGGAACCATGACACAAACAAACAGGGATCTAAGAAATGCCTGCCCTCAAAGGGCTTCACACTGCTGCTACTCTAAAAAAAAATGCAAAGTACATTTTAAATAAAATGTTTATTCAAGGAATAGGAATAAGGAGACACCAGAAAAGATGGGGCTGAATGCAAAACATGAGACAAGCAACAAGCCAAGTGTTTGTCCCTAACCTAGAGAGTCAGTTATGACTGCAGTGACTTGTCAGCAGAACTGAATGATGGGTGCTAGGCGCCAGTCGCTGCTCTAGATGCTCCACTACGGGCCAGCGCAACAAGTGAGCAGGCTCAGTGAAAACACGGTATATTTCTACACGCATACACACAAGTGTGAGCGTGCTGCAATCCTGCGGTAAAAGAGTATGTGGGCAGGTCGGAGAAGACCCTGTGCACTTAGAAGTTATCCCGTGCCAACGTTTAGGCTCAGACCAAGCAACATTCAGGACGAGGCACGTCTTCTCCGCCACTTGGGTTTACTCCGGAGAGAACTCCAGGTGAACTTGATGTGAGGGGTTCCAGGGCGTTCACTGCTCATGTCACCTTGACAAGATGATAACACCCTTCAGATGAACAGCACCACCAACCTTCTCTAAGCACCAGCTGTTTGCAAAACATTCAGCACCCTGCCTGGTAAACCACCTCTTTTACTATTACAGCTGAGTGCTTAAGTTACAGAACAGCAAGAGATGGAGCTGGTGGGAGCTGAGCGTAGAGGGAAGGGGAAATAAGTGCATGGAAAAAGACTTCAAGAGAAACCAGGAGAGAGAACCAATGGATCGTGTTCAGACTTAAAGTTGGAAGTTGCATTTAGATCATAAAAAGTTGCCATAGAAAAGAGCATACCAAGTAAATTAGTAAAGAATGTAAGTAGATGAGTCATCTGTACAGGCATGAGTAAAAAAGAAATCCTTGAAAGTAACAAGTGAGTTCAAGGGCAGCCTAGTCTACAAAGTGAGCCCTGGACAGCCAAAACTACACAAAGAAACCCTGTCTCAGAAACAAGAAGGAAAAGGAGAAGAAGAAAAGAAGAATAAGAAGAAGAAAGTAACAGATGAACTGGAAAAACTAGGTGCTTAAAAAAGGTACAAAACACAAACTTTAAAAAAATGTTTAAAAGTATTACTTTAAAAACGCTGTCCTAAATTCACTGATTCACACCAGCAAATGTGCATGCCATATCATGTGCTCCACTAAAATTATAGCAATTTCCCCTTACCTTGGGGGTGGGGGAAACCACGGCCTCAACAAATAAAAGCCTTCGTGTGAAATAACAGTAATTACAAAGACAGCAGCTATCTTTATATCATGCATGATTCCTTTAGAGTTCATCCTGGGAAGGTACTATCATCCTAATTCTACTGGATAAAAGCCTTGGCCACAGAGCTAAGTTACCTAAAAGTCAGCTCCTGCTGGCTCAGGCTAGGACTCATACCCCTGTCTGATAAGACAGAATAAACCCCAAAGCTCCCAAACTGCTGCTTACTACTTCTCTGCTACAGACTCGCATTTTCCAGTGAGCAGTCTGCCTTTCCTAAGTGGAGTTGACAGTATGGAATGATTCTCTTGAGGAGTATTTTTTTTAATTTTTTGCACTTATTTTACTTTGTAGGTGTATGAATGCTTTGCCCTGAACATCCTATGTACACTACACCCCTGCTGAGGTCAGGAGACGGCAAGGTAGCTCCTGGAACTGGAATAATGGGTGGTTGCGAACCACCCTGTGGGTCTTGGAAACTGAATGTGCATCCTCTGTAAGAGTGATAATGAATGCTCTTAACTTATTACTGTCTCTCCAGCTTCCCACGCAGTATTCACCAGAAACAAGTCAAACTATCAGTACCCTGAAATGTATGTCCTCAAAATCCTTCTTAAGTTTCTCATAGCCTCCTGCTCTACAAGTACACCCCTCTACTGGGCATAGAGAGTGGAAAAATGAGGACAAAGAACACATTGCAGGGAGGTCAGAGGGGTGAGGGCACCCACCATTCCTGCTGTTCTGTGCCTCCCAGACTCTCACTACAGGCCGTGGGTGCTGCACACGCCGAAAAGCTGTTAGGAAGTGTCACTTTTACCTGGGTCATTATGGGAGTGAGGCACCACGAAAACTTGAAGGGGCTCACTGTCCCACTCATCCGCTTCATACTTTATGTCAAATCCTTGCTTCCAAACTCCGCCATCTGGATTATCGAAAGGAATCAGATCATACACATCCAACATCTAAAAACAGGAAAGGAAAAAAGTTAACACGTCAGCCATTGGCAAGTTCTACTAAATTCTGGTCAATATTTGCTCAAAGATACTCTCTGCTGTTTTTTATCAATATATAATGGGGGAAAAAAACTTTATTTCTGTAAAAATCAATTGAAACTTTTCAGGCCAAAGACATCTGATCAGCATTCAAAGGCTTTGAAGGCTAGTCATGCCACATAACTACTCTGATAAAGGAGCTTTGATAAACGTGATTTCATTAATTTGTTAAAATTCCTCCTTTTCTTGCTTTTGGTGCCGGTGTGACTCAACGGGAAAACACAGTAAAGGCATCAAAATGGTGGCGCTGAGAAGACAACAGGCAGACACGCGGGAGTGGTGAGCTGTCGCACTAACAAAGGCAAACGGTGGCGAGAACGAACAAATCATGGCAAAAGAAAGCAGTGGAGCCCGGGGCTTAAAAATGTACAGAGTAAGAACAGACACAGAGCAAATCTGAAAGCAAACACAAACGCTCCTGATGACCAGCCGCGGCCCCTTTACCTGCACGTCCGGATGCTGACTTCCGCTCTGGGAGGCAAACAGACAGTCTTTGGGGTCGGCCTGCAGGGCTAAATGTGAAGAGAGGTGAGCGGAGCCATGGCTGGCGTTGCCTGGTGCACCTTTCGGGCCATCCTCCACGGACTCACTCAGGTTGATGACCGAGTCTCTGATGTTTGAGATGATCTCATTGTTTTCCGCTAGCAAACGCTCCAAATGGTCTATCTTTTCTTGCAAGATTGAAAGCTGGCCCTGAAATGAAAAACAAAGGCAGCTATATGAGCCATGAGTGTGGCTCTGCCAAGACACAGAGGGCGGCCACCCCTCCTTCCCTTTTCACTTCTGTGGGGCAACTTCTGTACGGGCAGCTGGGCCTGGTCTCGTAGCATAAAGCCTTTCTGTAGCCGCCATCTTTGTGTCATCTTGTGAAAGTATACGAGAATGACCAAGATATTTAGGGATTGTTTCCAAGTCTACCCCTCCCCCCAAAATGCAGTCCTAAATGATCTTTGGGTCTCTAGAATCACTAACACAGACTCATGTTATATTCAAGAGTGAGATTTTTAAATTTAAGCAAAATAGACTGGAGTTTATTTGCAGGGTCAAAAATACAAAAACTGTGGGAGAATATTCTTCCTCAGCCTGTTAACAAACGCTGGACAATCCAAGGAAAAATCAATTCATCAACCCACTGCTGTCGACACAAGCACGCCCTAATAAGTCATTCAGAGTGCTTATATTAGTCTGTGTGACAGGCAAGGCGTTGTTTTTGTTTATTTAATTGATCCCCACATTAAGAGGCTTGCCATCCTAACAACCTTGTTTTACAGAATACTGCAGCTAATGGCAAAAGAACCATCTCTGACTTGTTCAACACTATATGCTCAGTTCCAACCATAGGAAAGATATGCATGCCTTTGTCATGTTTCCGAGCATGCCTTTGTCATGTTTCCGAGCATGCCTTTATCATGTTTCCGAAGCCCAGGCCTAAGGCCGCACAGTAGGGAGGAAAAAATGCCTAAGATATATATTGACGTCTCTGAATATACAAGAGGGCATTATAAGCAACGCACATATGTGCACAGTGACACAGGTACACAAACCACCCCCCCCCCATACACACATACTAGGTCTCACAAAAAGCCCACTTTAGAGTTTAAAAGAAAAATTATCTGCATGGTGAACAGTTCACTTCCATTATCAGGAAGACAAAAAGGAAGAAAGAAAACACCTAAATGTTCAAAAAGTAAAATCTTCAAGGAGGTTGAGCTAATTGTGGAACAGACCTTAGCCACAAAAGTTGAAAAATAAAAAACTTTTTAATTTTTATTTCATGATGTGCCCAAGTGTTTGGTCTGCATGTATGTCTCTGTACCACCTGTGTGCCAAGTGCCCTTGGGGCAGAAAAGAGCATCAGACTCCTAGAACTAAAGATACAGATGCTCATAACCACTGAGTCATCTCCTCACCCTGGCAAAAATAAATAAATAAATAAATAAATAAATAAATAAATGATGGAAATATGAGGATGATTATTTCCAGGAAACTATCAAAACAGTGTTATTTGGAGAAAAAAAAAAAAAAAAAGCAGTACCCAGAATGTGCCGCCCAGCCTGCTAAACCAAGTTCAGTGCCCTGGGCCCAAATAGTAAAAGCAGAAAACAGAGCTCCTAGAAATAGTCCTATAAAATGCACACATATAAATAAACACAGTATAAAAATAGTGCAGATGAGAGGAAGAGGCAGGAGGATGTCTGTGACTTCAGGACCAGCTTTGTCTACCTAGCACGATCCAGCTGAGCAAGAGCCACAAGCCAGGCCCTACCTAAAGATGAGAGAAATGGGGGGGGGGGGGGGACTGTGGGAGGCTGAGATTTTCACAGGGTCACCTGTGCCCCAGTACTCACACAGGTACTGCGAAAGCCTGTCACACTCAATGTGCTGGCCCATGCTCTTTCTCCAACACTGGGCGGTGTGGGGAAGGAACGCTGCATAATTTCCCTATCTGTAACCAACACTGTGGGTTTGAACACAGCTTGGGAAATTGAAGAACCGGGTCCTGTCCTACCAACTGAAATGTTCATGCTACAAGTGTGATGTTTCAAATAATGAAAGTTAAGAAATTTCCTCATATAATTAAACCTTTCAAGAGTAAAAAAATGCAGGCTGAGGATGGCCCGGCCATTAAGAGCACTTACGCTCTTACAAAGGACTCAAATTTGCTTCCTAGCACCCATGAGGAAAGGCTCGCAGCCACCTGTAACTCCAGCTCTAGGGGATCCAACCTCTCTGGCCAATGTTGGCACCTGCATTCGAATACATGCATGCATGTACATACACACACACACACACACACACACACACACACACACACACACTGAATATACTCGTGCACAAACCCACACAGGCACACACACTTAAAAATAATATATAGTTTAAAAGTATAATAAAAAGGGACCAGAGAGATGGCTCTGTGGTTAGGAGCACTGGCTGCTTTTCCAGCCGACCTGGGTTTGATTCCCAGTGCCCACGTGGTGGCTTACAACCATCTGTAACTCCAGTCCCAGGGGATCCAACACTCTCTACCAGCCTTTGTGGGCGACGAAATGTAAGTGGTGTAGACATACATGCAGTTAAAAGAGCCATCCATATGTAGCCATACAAACACCAGTCTCTACAGTCAGAGTGCCGGGGTTAAGGGTGTGTACCACATCCAGCTTCTAAAGTAATGTTTCAAAGAATGAAAACTATGACGACCTTAAACAAACTTATAGAATATCCTGAAAATTAACAACATAAAAGAATCAAAAAGAAAAACAGTAGTATCTATGATGATACAATTTTAACAAAGCATACTGACTAAAAACTGGTTGGGATGTTTGGATCATTTTTAAAGTATTGTGAATATTTGTTGGTTTAGCAGTGAGTGAAAGATTTAATTATTCTGTACACGTTGGGTGGGGTTAAAAAGGGCCGTAGGTAAAGTACAGAGAGAAGGCCAGTCCCTGGAACAAGCCAAAACGCGTCTGCAGAGTTCAGAAAGAATGGGGGAAATAAAGCAACCAAAAGCAGCAGCTTAGTATCAGGACGTGGGGAAGGGGTGTCAGTGCCCGAGTGAGAGTGGCAAGGAGGAGAGTCATCTCAAGGGCTTCTGCAGACGCGAAAGCTGCTCTCGATGGCCTTTCTACCTGGACACGGATACAGTGACAGAAATAGTTCCTCACACATGAAAACTATAGCCTCTGAAGGCAGCCGTGGCCCTAGAATAGAGTGACCACGAGGGAGAGCTCAGAACCCTATTCATGGGCACACACAGAAACAAAGTGCAAGGCTTGAGCGTGGGTCCTTTCCAGCAGGGATGAGCCCACTTCCTCCAGGGACAAGCTACAAAGAGAACACGACCAATTTACATTTGGAAGCAGCACAGCAAAGAAAACCTGGGGTCTCCATGCAAGACTGCCCTGCAGCTCACACGAGGAAGCTGGAGGAATCACGTGGGCTCTACATCAACAAAGCCCTTCAGGGATAGGCCAGCCAGGGGCCTGCAGCACACAGCTCAGGAGAACCACTGGCAGGGCCCAACACAAAAGCTTACCTATCTAGACTTCCTTAAAACATGATGAAATTTCCTGTATGACTTACTTTTTTTTTTCCCTGTAACTAGAGCATGTAGTTCTAGAGTACGAACCTGGTAGATTGCAATGCCATGGTCCTTGCCAATACAAAGTAGAGAGGCTGGACATGCCCACTGTACCAAGGAAGGCCACACCCATGTTGGTTACCAGCCAGCCGTTCTCTGCTGTGCAAAAACCAGAAGCTGTCTTCTGTTGTAGCCTCAAGCCCAACCCCAAACAGTGAAAATGCTTGAGAGCCAGACACACTGTCTCTGCCCATACTTCTTAGCACTGTGTGGAACGAGGGGAGACTTTTCCTCACGCACGGCACAGCAGATTGGAGCTCCCTGCATCGCTCTGACTCATCCGGCTGAGGACTTCCAGTACCGAGAACAGAAATCCCTCCAAGGGGCCCTGCTCAGCCCGGAGGCCACAGTCAACAAGCTCCCATGCCGTGCGGAATTTGAACCTCAGGTCTGTCTCACACACCACCCTGAAACGAAGCTTCGGTGTACTCTCGGGGCTTTTAACGATATCCTGTGTGGATTCCAGACTTTAATACATCCTTCTCGAGCAGCCCATGCCTGGGGGTCTGGGGGTCACCTTGGACCCACGTCCCTAGCCAAGCTGCCTACGTGAGAAAAAAAAGGACTCTAGGGAAAGCTTCTGCTATGCAGCCTTGTTCCCATGTCAAAGAATTACTCCATGTAAACATCATCACAGATGGGTCACGAAGAGGGAGCCAACAGATGTGGAAGGCGACTTTCACTGACCGGTGCCCAGGACTCTGCATTGACTTAAGTACATGTAGAAAAGTGTGGCCTGGGGCTATGTCAGCATTAATGGTCTATTAAAAAGCATTTTAAGTTATATTACACCCTGGAATAAGGTCTCCCTCCTAACAGCCGAAATTCTTAACGTGTATCTCATAAGCAAACTGTAAACACATGGCGGGGAGGAGTGGCGCGACCTTAAGGGACGCGACCTTAAGGGACGCACCCACGGTGTGCGTTACAGAGGCAGAAATGATAGATAATGTTTCAATTACGCTGACAGGTCAAAGAATGCTGACAATAATATTGAAAAAGACAATTTTCCGTGGGGCAAGAGAATCACTTGTGAGAAAAGCAGGCTACCCTTTGATTTGCTAATCAGTCCTATAGGGAGGCATCTTCAGTGCCGCACTGCTGAGGAAGGTCAGATTTGATTTTCTCTGCTAGTGGTGAAAGAAAGGCTGAGGGGAGAGAATCGCACATAGCAAAGACACTGGGCAGAGCTAATTTTGAGTCTACGACGAGGTAGACCAGGACCCCTGCCCACTCGATCCGATGAACAAAATCGATGGCTGCGTCCACAGCTCACTGTGAGCGTATTACATAATGATCTGCCCCGGGCAGGACGCGAGCTACCGGTGACTACGCTTGCTGTGGCCACTCAAGCTGCTGACTGCGCATCTTCTTCCTCAAGTTACACCTCAAACGTGGCTGCCTTCCCCTCCACCACCTCAGAGGCCAAGGCCCTTCTCGCTTCCAAGCCCATCTTTGTCAACTTCTCTGAGGCTTCATTCTTGGTAAAAGCCTCTTGATGCTGCTGCATCAAACGCCCCTCCCAAAGCAACCCAAGTGACATGAAGCGCCCAGCCTCGCATGACTATGGTATAATAAATTTTAAATTATTTTCTGTTCTGTGTATGTGTTTTCTGACTGAGCGCATGCATCTGTGTGGCAGTTGAGCAGTGCCAGAGAGGACAGATGAGGGCATCAGATCCCCTGGAGCTGGAGGTACAAATACGAGTGACCGTGTGGGTG